CAGGAAGATACGATCAAAGTGATACATAAGATAGATCAGATAAATGAAATAGAACAAGATAGATACGATAGGTACGATGGGGGAGATGGGAATGATGGGAGAGATAGGACAGATAGGATAGAGGTAGGTGGGTAGGTGGGTAGGTTTGTCGATAGATCGACTGAGATAAGATAAGGTAGGAACATATAGCAACATACAAGATAAGGTGGGACAACATGGGATCAGATATGATAAGAGAGGATAAGACGGGATAAGATAGGAAAGTAAGGCTAATACAGGATAAGATAGAATACGATGGGATAAGGTAGGATGCAATAGGAAAATAGGATTAGATTGGATAAGACAGGATGAGGGTAGGATAAGACAGGAAAGATAGAGAGATAGGTAGAGATATAGACAGATAGATGGATTGATACATAGGATATGATAGGCTAAGACAGGGTAAGACACGGCATAGGATAATACTGGACAAGGTAGGGTATGGATATGATAAGCAAGGTAGATAAGGCGCCTGGAATTTATGAGATAGATAAGATGGACAATCTAGATGAGACAGATACAATGAGTTAAATAGGACTAGTATGAACGATTCTATAGATATGCTATCTGGATAGGATAAATGGTAAGTATCATCGTAGCATCCCCTGCATCTCCAGCTGCGCCTAACGTGACTTTTGAAATGTGTATAAGAAAAGAAAAGGAGGTGATGACCGTCATGATGACTGTAAGGGTGCTGATGATGAAGGATGATGATGATGATAACAATGGACAATGATGGTGATGATGACGAGCAGCGCCAGCACCACCAGCATCACCAGTGAAACAAATCTGACTCATCCGACCACTTGCGGAAGTGGTCGGATGGAGAAGTGGTCGGATGGAGCGGCCCAAACGACATCTCCAGCGACGCCTGTGTCAGCAGATGACGACTGTGATGAAAACTATCATCGTAGCATCCTCTGCATCACCGATGCTGCCTAACCAGAGATGATGACGACCATGAAGCCACATCCAGGCTTTGAAATGTATATAAGAAAGAGGTAGTCATGACCATCCTCGATGACAACAATTTCTGGCCAGGCGCGGCGCCAAGCGTGTCCAAAACTACAAACCCGTAAGTCGTACTCAATCTCCTAGGCCTTGGCAACATGTGGAAAGCATACATGAACAAGACACGTTTGCAAAGTGCCTTTCAAAGTGCGTTCAGGGGCAAGACCCATTTTGTAAAACGAGTTGCGGCGCGAGTGAAGCTGGAAAGTAACGCAGCCGACAAATCGGGCTGCGGGAATTCCCCCTAGTCGCATGTCCAGGTGGTCTGATGAGGAGGTCCTCGGTGTTCCCCCTCCCTCCACTGAGCTTGAAGGAGCTTGCCGGTCGATCCAGACATCATTTCCATGGCGCGCAGGTATCCCCGCATCGCTGGCTTGTCCTGATTCAACCGTAGGATGCCTTGGCTGCGTATGTGACGCGGCTCCCTGCGTCGCGTGGTGAGCCAGCCACTTGGTCAACCTTATGTCTGCGCGTCAGGGAAGTTGCGCAACCGCTTCTAGGTTGCATGCTGAGTGAGGATAGCCCCTCCCTTCAGTTCATTTGATAATGGTCCCGTGTCGCTTGAATCCGCGCCGGCAAGCAGACCTACAAGCGCTCTCCGATCATCCCTGACTGTGGGTCAGAAACTATGGGTTGCCCACGCCTTGGTCGACGGAGGACGCCCGGTCAGGATGGTTGGGTTTCCCCCCGTGCGGTTCATCGTCGGCCTAGGCTGCGGGTATCCTTTTTACTGTTAGTTATGTTCCGTGGTTGTTTTGGTTACCGGTATGTTGGAGCCCGTGTCTTGACATACCAGACACCCTTCAACACCCAAAGTGTGGTGTGCGACCTCCGAAGTCGCAATCACTATTGCGCCCGCCGTGTTTTTTTCTGTGGTTTTCGCGCTTTGTTTTTTCTGTTTGCCCACCCCAATTTTCCGCGGAGATTTCCCCCAGACCCTGGTGAGTCTGCACGCGCAAGCACATGCAGAGTTTCTCACTTGCCCAAAAGAAGGGCTCACCTAGGGTCGGACATGAGGTCGGACTTTAGGCGGTTGAACCCGGCGGGCATCAAAACAAACATCAGAACAACTTCGGAAGCCTCTTGTATGGCCACAGGACATCAGGCTGCAACTACTGTGTTTTGTTTTCGCGTTCTGTCGTTCTTGAAATGTGTTCGGAAATTTTCTTCTCGCAGCTTCACGCCCGCGCACGCCAAGGCGCAAAGCTGCTTCTTAGCTGTGCTAGAAGTAGCGATGAGGCAGGCAGAAAAGTAGCGGTAGTAGTAGTAGTAGTAGTAGTAGTAGTAGTAGTAGTAGTAGTAGTAGTAGTAGTACAGCAGTAGTAATATTAGGAGTATTAGGAGTAGTAGGAGTAGTAGGAGTAGGAGTAGTATTTCTTGCACGAGTGTGGGTGTAGAAGTAGTAGTAGCAGTAGCAGTCGTAGTTGTTGTTGATTCAATGTACTTGCGCTTCGCAGTCTTGACAAGCAAACATGCTAGGATCGCACCCGTCCCGGCCGCCACGGGGCATATCGATGGTCGAGATGCACGATCGGGCCCAGGGCTTAGCAGTAGCAACAGCAGTAGTAGTAACCGTTGTCATCGTCAAAGGAGAAGGTACCTAGCTGCGCCTACCCCATGGGAAATTCTTCTGTGTTTGCTAGGTTGTTCTTGGTAGAACCTTTCCGTTTCATTAGTTATCACACGCAAGCTCTGGAGTCCCGGCTAGCCAGTTGAACTAAAAGGTAAGTGCTCTTGTCTATCGCTATATTTCTCGTTACTGCCAATAGCGCCGGCGAAGCCGGTGGGCGGAAGCTTCCAAAATCCAAAAACAAGACATGTCTCTTTTATTCGTTCTGGTTGTCTTCTTACTGCTTGTCATTGCTTTCCTGCTTTCCATCTTTCTTTCTTTGGCTCCTTTTGCTTTTCTTTCTTTAATTTCTTATGTCCGTTTCTTTTCCATTCTCTCGTTCTTTCCGTGTTGTTTCCTTCCTTGTTGCCCGCCTCGCTATATCTGTCTATCTCTTTGTGTCTCCCTATCGGTCTGCCTATTTTTCAGTTATGGCCATCAACCAAGCTATCTAGTTATCTAGTTCACAATCAATCAATCAATCAATCAATCAATCAAACAATCAATCAACCAATCAATCAATCAATCAATTAATCAATCAATCAATCAATCAATCAATCAATCAATCAATCAGTCAACCAATCAACCAATCAACCAACCATTCAATCAATCAGTCAATCAGTCAATTGTCTATGACCGCTTGTCTGTCTATCTATTTGTCGATCTGTCTACCTTCTATCAAAATACCAAGCTCTCCACCAATCTGGCTGGCTACCTGTCTTTCTAAACTTTCTACCTACCTACCTATGTAGCAATCTTCTATACAGTTTCCGGGCTTCTATCTACCTGTCCAGCCAGCTTTCTTTCCATCTGCTGTTTGCGCAATAGCTGTCTACCTCTCTCTCTCTCTCTCTCTCTCCCTCTCTCTCTTCTATGCATTTGTCTCGCCACCCATCTACCTATCATACTGTCTGTCAACGTACCTGCGCGGCCCTAATCTGGCCCATCCACCTATTCTACCTACCCATCCAGCGAGCAAGCAAGCAAGCAAGCAAGCAAGCAATCTCGTGTGTCTAATCTATCCTTCTCTATCATTCTATTTATCTCTCAACCTTCCAAAAATGCTACGCCTGCCTGCCGCGAAATCTGCGCTTCAGATTCTGACCACTACACAGAAACCGCAGAATTCCCAGGTAGTCGGTTAAAACCTGGCAAGAGAAGCGACTAACCCGAAGCGCCACGAGATGCGCTGCAAGCCTTTGCCAGGCAGTGTTCCTACTGATCTCTGCCGACCTTCTGCTCCTGCACCAAGGAGCATAACACTGACAACCGCAAGAGGCGCGCCCCGTGAGCTGCTCTACGCAGCCACTTGGAGCATCCAATGGTCTCCGTTGCCCCCTAGTGTTGCAACAGATGCGCTTTGGCAAGAATTCGGGCGGGATTTGGCGTTTGGCATCGTTAGATGCCATTCGCCGCCAATTGAGGAGCCGACTGCATTTTCGTTCCCCGGTTCACTCGTGCGAAGCTTTTGCTTTAAAGCTTGCGTCCTTCACGCTCTCCGCTTCCCCTGCGACCCAACCAGGCACAGGAGCGCTAAGATCGAGTGAGGCAACCCCTACCTACAGGGCAGCCACCAAACACAAGACACAAAGCGGCGCACATGAAGCCATGCGCCTTTGTGGGTCAATGTCCCTGGAAGGGACTATGACCTTGAGGGTCATCTCCTTTCCGGCAACGAGCGCTGTCCCAAACAGAATGGCCTCTCACTCGTGACAAGTTCGGTGTGCGGTGAATTTAGCCTGGGGAAGAGAATCACTCAGGCGTCCACCCACCCACGCGCGATACGAGTTCTCTCTCAGACCTTGGAAAATGGAAATGGTGCGAACTGCGCGTCCCGCCGGACTCCGCGCGAAGGCCAAGCCGGCCGCAGGCAGATGACTGACACGCGCTAACGAACAAGGACCCGTTGACCATGTGTCCAGGATATGAGAGAGAATTCGCTGCCAAGAAGCAGAGGGCCTTGGAAAAGGGTGGACAGAGTATGAGGGGGAGAAAGCGGTCCCGCAAACATGATGGACTGCGAAGGCCATTTCCGAGCATCAAGCACTATCTTTTTGAAGGTGTCACAGACATCGCCAAAAACTCGTTTCCCGCAACGATCTCGTTAAATCACACCAAGAACTCAGAAGCCTAAAGAATAACAACCTTTCTTGCGGCGGAGAAAGGACACCCGACCTGCAGCAACCAAGAAGGCGGGGGTCGTTCCCCTTCAGCGTTCCCCACACCAGGGTTGGTCTAAAGACCTTGGCACATTTAACGTTGGCCCCAACAGAAATTCAAGAACCCGCGGTTCTCTAATCACTCTTTCAAAATCAAGCATTCTGCTCAGGGCCGGCGTTTTACTCCTTTCTACTCGCTCCACTCCAACTTGGCAAGCACCGACAGCTTGGCCGAGTGTGGCTGCAGGTCAAAGGCCTGAACGCTCAGAATGTTCGCCGGAACCGGGCGATGGATTGGGACTCAAGCATGGTGGGTTGAACATGCGCAGCAAGCACTTGGGAACAACCGGCTAAATCTTTACAACAGAGATGTCCTTGAAACGGCATAGGGTTGTCTCCGAACAGGGCGAAGAACCCAAACATGGCTGGGTTTTCTTTCTGGAGGAACGCAACGCGCACCCTCTACGGGCTCACCGGAACCAGAGTTTGCAAAAGAAACAAGAACAGACTTGTTTCGGCAGAACAACTTAATTGAACCCTTTCAAAGAAACAAGCAATCAGCCTCTGTGTCTGGAACATGTCTAAGTTTGGCCCTGGAAGCTTGGAAGTGAAAGTGCTCTCGTTCAACACGCCAAATATCCGACACAAAAGCAGCACGTGCGGGCCCCGAATATGAACCCACGCATAAGGAAGCAGAAGACCAACAAATAGCTGTGCTTTTTTCCACCGGAAGCAAAATATACTTCTACCACAATACAGCAAGTGTGAAGCACTTGTTTCTCCTGCGGATGAAAGTGCTAAGTCACCAGGCTTGAGCCAAAAGATTGCCAAGAATGTAATGAAACAAAACAGACATTTCCAATCATCGCGATACTGGTTCCTCTAAGGAATATCGCTACTGGAAAGCCTGAACATGGTGGCATGGTGCAGTGATAGCACATGAGAATATGTTGCCGTAGCCAATCTAAATAATATAAGTGCGCTGTGTTTTACACATATATCTTGCCTTGAATCGATGCCAAAATACGCACGCGGATTGAAACTCGAAAGACATGGGCCATACTCCTAGGATCATGGCGAGAAAGTCCGGGATCTGAAGCAAACAGGAAATTCATCACAAAATGGCAACAAATAAAAGTTTGCGTCTTGTCCGATGAAACCTTGCTCCAGATGAATATTGGAATCATATGTGTTGGGTCTGCTCTTCGGAGACGTTCGGGTTCTCCGACGTGGAATCAACGCTCACCAATAGCGGGTGGCACCAGGGAGGTGTTTAATTGTTGAGCAAGTTGCGTCGCTCTCCGTGTAATCTGCATATACAGCGCTTGCTGCCTCTGAATCTGTGTTCATTTCTGTTCTCTCATCTTCAGGCTCTTGGCCCAATAGACTACATGGGTACTACGCAGTCAATGACACCGCAGAAAGCGTCGGTCCTTGGAAGTCTTTTGGATGACGTTGCGCGCTCTGATCTTGATGTGCTTGAGCGGGTCCTCTGCTGCCCGTTGAGTACTTCGGCAATTCCTTCCATCGCAATCTGGATCGCCGAAACCTGTGTGGATGTGCAGTCAACTGTTTCTCACTGAGCCTACTGCGTGCGGAATATACATGCAGGGGAACCTTTGCATCTTCGGATTCTGAAAGCAATCCACCCCGTTTCTGAAGTGTGCTCCAGACATGACCCAGGTGTTGGAGTTGGTTAAAAACACGAGTCTTTTAACACCCTTGCCGAGTTCAGAGATTGGTTATGTCAGTGTCTTAATCTTTCCATTGAGAATCATGTTGATGTGTTTCCTTCGCTGGTTGTTGCGTCTATGGGAGCAACCGACCTGTTGATTTGAGGGATATTGGTAGGTGTTCTTCCAGCTCAGTCTCGTAGACATGCGTGTAGGCAAGCAACTTCTCCGTGGGGCTGTTGTCCTCAGTTCTCACGATCTTCCCGCTTGATGGATCGAACTGTTGTTCTTGGTCATCGTCGTTGCTGAATTTAAACAATGGAATGCGTGAGAGACCGAGCTGCAACTCGTGGAATGGAAAACCTTGGGCCTTGACGGTTTGGATGTGCTCGGTCACGTCAACAAAGTGGTTACGGGTTCTTCCATTCTTGTGGCGTTTGATGCCCGGAACCACGTATCCGCTTTCAACAATCGCACTCATGCCTTTGGGAGCTGTGCCCCAGAGAACACTGTAAGTGTGTCAGGAGTCTCAGTCACGGGTTCTGCCGGTATAGATTTGCTCTTCGGCGTTCCTTCCAGGGTGTAAGGAGGGCGTGGCTGAATCTCTGTTCCATACTTCAGGAGGTTCCCTGGATGGCCCTGTTAGGAAGACAACGCTTCTTGATTTTGAGGAAGTTTATGGTCAGGACTCATCTGCGTGTCACCCAGTTCCTGACTTGGAGGTTCCTGGTGTCGACTGGGCGAAGACGTCAGCGCAGACCGGCTCAAAGTCGTGTTTGCGATTGGGTCTTGTGTGCGCGTAGAACAAAAAGGTACTTCAACACTTAGCGGACTGCGGCTGTAGAAACTGCTTGGTTTCCCTCCATGTCTTGGCACAATACATGAACCGGTGTTGCCACACGCTTTCTGGTCATGCGTCAGCTGTGTCCAAAGGGCTTGGTCTGGTTCTTCGTTGATTTTTCGTCGGTCTCATACCAGGCTCGTTGTAAATCAAAGCTGTCGATGTGGAAGTTGGTTGTTGTGGTAGTAGCACAAGTGCGCGACGCACTGGTGGCTCTGGCTGCGGCGGCTTTGGCGTGTTTCGGTCAGGGGGATCAGGTGACAGCTGGATCATCTCCACCGCCGCCGCTTCATGTTTGTCGATGGGCATTGGCCGACCCGTGGGCGCTTCCCAAGTGCGCTGGTAAGAGTGTGAACTTGCCAGAGAAACACACACACACACGCGTCATCGGGCAGCGTCGTCCATGGTCAGTTGATACCGGTTGTGCGGCAGTACGTGGCGCGCTTGTTGCGTGGCGCGCGAGGTATGCAAAGATACCTGAGTCGTCTTGCGCCGTTGTATATGGCGTGGATTCTTGAATCTGAGGCCTCGTGTGGGAACTGCTGCGTTGCCTTCTGAAGCGTTTTAACTTCCGCTGTCGTTGATGTGCAAGGGGACTACCTGGTTGTTGACCGGAAGATCTTGAATGCTAACACGAGCGCCGACCCTCGTCATGTTGTATTCTTCATCGGGTCTTACACTCTAAGAGGGAAAATCACTGTCTGACATGTCCCGCTAGCTTTGCGCGGCTGCCCCGAAGGCTGATGTTTGCACTTTCCTTTCCAAGGTGCTACCACTACGTTGGAAAAAACTTGTGGGACATATAGGTAGGTTACAACTTAGGTCATAACCTCTGCAACCTATGTCAGCAGTTCGCTAACCTCGGCAAGTTCACGGTGAGTTCATGTGAACTTATAAGTTAGTAAGGGTCTACTTATGGGACTTATGGTTTCTGCATCAAAGCTACTTATGGGAAACTTAGGAACAACTTGGGGTGAACTTACGCTTGCACAAAAACTGAGTATCTGTAAAGGTGTGAGAGCGATAGGGGCGCCAAAACTAGGGTTATCCCACATAGACATTCTTGGGCCCTCAAAGCACAAAACCGGGGGGAGTCTGTTGTCCTGGCCGTTTACACACATCGGTTTCTTTTCGCAGTTGCGTCTGGCTCACGCTGCGCGCGGTACCTGCAAGCCGTTTCTCGGCAGGCACCCTCGGCCGGGGCGTTGTCTTCTACAAGGGGTGTTCTTGGCCACCTGCCCCGCTCTTTGTGTTGTAGGGCCAACGTCGGTCTTCCTCGGCGCATTTTCTTGACAGCCCGGATTCGCGCGGCCTGCGACGTTGGCGCTACTTCCGTAGTATTAGGGCCCCGGAACACCTAACGTCTGCTGAGGTCGGTTGTCGACGTGGATCTGGGCGTTTATAAGGTCTCGGCCGCGGCTTGACTGGCTCGGGCCTTTGCTTTTCTTGCCCTCTGCGCTACAGGCTGCGGCCCACTCTGAGCACGTGCGCGGCTCCGTCTGGCAGCGCGCTCGTTTCAGCCCAGCGTGGATGCTCCCTGTACAGTTCCGGCTTGGTGGACCACGTGCGACCAGGACTTGATCTTGCCTGCGCTAGAAAGAATTCACTTGCAGTTGTTTTGTGTTTTCCGGCGCGTAGCACAGATTCGAAACCCGTGCCGGGAATGCGCCGTGGGAAAAATACTGCCGCCTGCCATGGGTAAACTTAGAAGATCGTTCTTAACTTACACATGCTGTTTCAAGAAGTTAGGCTAATAAATTACATATGTAGTTTATACGTCCCACAAGTTGTTTGCAACGTAGTGGTGGAGCACCTTCTGAAATATGGTCTCATTGTTTTTTGGAAGGTTGTGTGTAAGACTAATTGGTTTCAAACTTTACGAAATCGATCATGGCTTGCCTCTCTGCAAATTTCCTTGGATCATTATGCTCTGCATGATGGACCAGCCAAAAAAACATCTGGCTGTTGCGCTCGGACAGTGTCGAGCACCATTTGCCGACCTTTGTCTGTCACAAGTGTAGGGCTTGGCCATGAGTAGTCGTCTGGCTGGTTTTGTTGCCATGGTGGTAGGCACAGAGGACCCCGGCTTCTTTGCGGCGACCGCGAGTATTTCACGTTGACGGTCGTTCTTCTGTCAATCACGTCTCCTTTGGTCTCTTGGGGGGTGTTTGTAGCACAAGTGTGTATCATCACAAACACACTTCAAAACAGAGGCCCCGCCGCCACCTGCAAAGTGTCCACAAACCAGCCCCAAGACGAGAATGACGAAATTGAAACGGGTGGAACCCAATATATGTTCAATAAAACCTTGCTTCTCGTGGGTAATTTGGGTGGTTCCTGCTGACCTTCTCTTCTTATGAAAGACAAGAACTGTGCGATTAACGCATCACCTTAAAACGACGCTCACTTCTCTACTGCTGACAATATACTAGAAAAAAGGCTCCAAACCCCAGCCTTGAGGCTGTGGAGCTGGTAGCCCCGCTTCAGGAGCCACGCCAAGTCCCGCGCCATCACCCGCCCTCCGCTGAGGAACAAAAGCCGCGGCGCTTGTAGTTCCAACAGGAAGCCTCAATCAGGCGCGTAACCGGCCCGAATCCTTAACTTCGTGGGCGGAATCGCAAAACTAAGACTTCCTGGTGTTGGACTGGTCTGCACCAGAAAGAGACTGGTCAGCAACTGCCCCGTCTTTTTTACACTTCCATTCAACCTGATCACACGTAGAAGCTTGGGTGGTAAAGGGATAGTATGTGTGAAGACTGCCCAGCAAGTATGGTCCCACACTTGATTAGCCTACCTTTACGAACGGGCCACTCCAGAAAAATTGCAACTGTACCAACCAGGGGGCTCCAACTTCCTTTCAATACTACAACACGCAGGGACGCAACCATACATCTGGCAAAGGGCGCCCGAACGAACCACTCCGACATACTTCAAGCAAACAGTGCGCCCATGTCCCTCGCGTCCACTTAGGACCTTTGCAGGCCCCTGCTGCCACAAATATTTTTTTCACTTCCAACATCTTCGCACAAAAAAACTGACTTCAAGGTTTGTTGCGCAGGTCCGACCACGCCAAAAACGCTGTAAGATCTTGCCTTTTTTCCAAGGTTGGACTGTTTGAGTTCCAGCTTTTGAGACACCAACGCAAGCGCCGCAGGTAGGCAAAGTAGTACGTAGCATCGAGGTGCGCAAACACGCTTAAACCAAATGTGGCCCTAAACGCGCTCATAGCCAGAAAGCAAACATCATAGCTGTGCAGCAAAAAGGGCGAATGGATGCGCCGGAAGAAATGTCTAATGCCTGGATCTTCTGAGGGTACGTAATTTCTGCCGTTTGGCCAAACTGCGGAAAATGTTGCCGTTTCAATTTGATTTCAGCCGTTTCAATCAATGCTTGCCGTTTTGCGAATTTCCTGCAGTTTCGTTCAATTTTGCGTCATTGCCCCAATTTAGTGCGGACAAATGCGCCTGGAGGTGTGTGAAGGGCATGGCGAGTAAAATGCCCAGATTCAAAGTTGCTTAAAAGCTTCGGATAGCAGGATAAATCCTGCTACTGCCGCGCATCCCGGAGCAAAGCCAGTAGCGTTGTTCAAGCACGTGCGCAAGATTTGGGTCTGAGCATACTGTCTTTCGTAGGTCTGGAACCAACATCCTGAGAATTCCAGACTTAGCACATGCAACTGTTCGTTGCAAGTTGACGTGTCAAGCAGCGCTCACCCAGGAGGACGTGCGAGACCTGTAGCTTAAGCTCCTCACTATTTTTTCGAGTCGCAGTCACCCCTCGCACCTTCTCAGCACAGCACGCCACCAGCACGAATCACATCACCACTTAAGTATAGGTTTCAGACAGTGCCAACATCAGCAAGTTTGATTCACTTTAATATGTTGTGGCTGCTTACTGATATATTCTTGTCAAATATGACTGCAGCCAGAATGATGACCGACAGAGCCCATGTGATAGAGCAGCGTGTGAAGTGAGCCGGCAAGCGCTATGAGTGTGGTTCGCTAAAAATCGCCGTTTGGCCGCAAATTATCGCCGTTTGGCCGCAAATTATAGCCGTTTTGTTTCTGCAAATTTGGACACAGTTGCCTGAATCTTTCCAAGGCGACACAACTCGGGGTCTTTCCCCCCAGGGCTGCGATGGCAAGCCCCGTTGCAATTCAGAAATTGACGCTTCCCAGCTTTGCGCAGCAGTAAACAAAGCCATCCAACAGCAATATCACTGCAACTGCTCAAGTAGCAACTTACATTCTTATGTGTTGGCGTGGTTCCCTCATATTTCCTCGTTTCGCACGCTTCCAACCTTCTTGGCTTGCATGCAAACCAGACTAAAGCGGATTGGCCTTCCATCCTAGTGTGCTGCTAAACACTATGCAAGACTTGCCCTTCTAGTCCTGCGCCTGCAACAAGTGGTTGGATGCTGTTTGCTGGACCTCCAATACTCAAGAGGCGTGATAAAGAAACAAATAGATCACTGCGGCGCTAGTGCTGCGAAGTCAAGCGCATCACATTCGACCAGAATCAGCATACTGGCATGAGTTTCAAGCGCCACCTGACCTCGAATATGCACCCTGATGCTGAAAAGAGGAAAAGCGCAGTTTGCATCAAAATGCGCCGTCTCAACTTAAAACATGGTCGTGCCCGAAACTACTGAAATTATGCCCCTCTTGGAAGATACAGGTGTGATGAATACAACTGCACGAGGGCGATGCATATCAATGACAACCAGGCCGTGCGTGATACACTGTGACTATCGCAGGAGCAAGGCTCTTGCCTTTCGCACCCCCGAGCAAATGCGCAACACACCGACACACTCCAAGGTCATAATGGCAACAGAGTAACACGTGGCAAACAAAAAGGAGATTAAAGATTTGCTTTTCACAGAGGACGGCAAGCGCCACGGGCTCCTAGATGTGCTAAGTGCTGTCTGCGTCGTTTTTCACAGGACTCCGAGAAATAATTCCAGACAAGCGCTCTCAAAGACCATGAAGGTTTGGCGTTGGGTTAGAAGTTCGCTTTAACTCCCCACACCTGCGCTAAAACGCTGCTCTCTCTTCATTGCCAGGTGGACCATGCCTGGGTGGAGACTGTAGCGGTTCCGATCAAAGCTAAGGCCACCTCCGGTTTTGCACTGCGCTCCTCGCCCAATGGCGCATTCCCTCCTGGCAGCAGTGACAGTCAGGGGAATGTGTCTCGACGTCTTCCCGCAAGATGCCTCACGCGGCCATCTTGATGGAGTTGGTCGCGCGGGATAATCAGATCATGCTGGAGGCCATCTAGATTTCAACGCTTGAGCATCCAGTTCAGTGGGCAAGGAACTAACTGATCACGTCGATCTTTGTTTCCCTTCTCGCCCTACTGGAGTAATCTGGATTCCCAGGACCGCGCGTCCAAAGTTAGAAAGGGCAGTCGTCCCGCTTTTGGTTGAGAAGCGCAGTCCTGAGGGGCGATCATGGCTCTTGCTGAAGATCCTTGCAGGCGTCGTCTGACTGTCTTACAACGCTGTTCGTCCTGGCGCACAGCTTTTTTCAGACGTGCCCAGCCACTCGTAAGGAATTTCCACCAGGGAAAGAATTTGTTGCAGGCGCACTCTTTGGCACATGCCCAGGATCGTACGTGGCTAACGAAGGTTGTGCCTTGCATTGCTTCAGAATGCGTCATCGATGGACCCGCTGAGGGGGTCTAGCACGTCGAGAATTCGGAAGACCGAACAAGCGCCCGATAAAAATGGCTCTCTCAACACATTTATGAGCAGCTAAGAGTACTCAAGGACTTATGAACACATATTGGTGAAAAGTTGCAAGTTATCTACACCAGCTTGCCAGGCTATAGGTTGTCCAGCTTGCTCATAACGTAAGTAAGTTTTGATACGTGTGGCAACGTTGGAAAAACATTTGCTCACCTCGCGCGGGACGTCTTTCAGTGAAAATGGAAAACTGAGCGCAACGCGAGCAAAGCCCCTTCCTGTTCTGATGACCATGGCGGTCTGCTTCATTTGAACAGAAGTGGTCAAGCACAACACGCTAAGGATACGGACAAGACAAAAACGGCAATCGTCACCGATAACAACCAGGAAATGTGCTGCAGACATATTTGGCATGTTCAAATAGCTGCATTTTCTATAGGCCAACTGACATTTGGAAACTTCCGCCATCCAGCTTGGCTGGCTTACACCTGGGAGAGTTTAACGCGTGTGATCAGCCAATGTGCCTTGAGCTATCCAGCCCAGGTTGCTTGCAGCTAAAACCAACAATGAACAAAGAGCGCCTCAAAACGCGCATGAAACTTTGACTAGTAGGGCGGCCTACAACATGTTACAACGCCCCACTTCACAGAAGAAAAACTCAAACAGTTGACTTTTTCAGGGGTCCCACCAAATCCCGGGATTTGGCACAAGGTTCCTTTGGGTTGGTAAGGGGGAGCCAGGATTTTTGAAGGACCCAGCTTCCCTCCAATGGGATCGGTTTAGATTGGTGGCTTGGAGGTTCGGATTTCGCTCAGTCAGCAGTTCAAACCCCCAAGCCAGTTAAGGGTTGCCTGAATATACCCATGTGTCAACATAGGGATTTGGACGCCTCTTTCTTGGCGGCCGCCACCCAACTTTGCTCAAGACTCGTCGAAAGACCTTGGGCATGCCGTTGCGCCCCGGGTCCACCAGCAGAATTTTTGGTGGCTCGCCGCGCGCAGCGGCGGCCAAACCTGCACAACGGTCCGTGCGGTGCGTGCGGTCCGTACGGTCCGTGTGGTCCGTATAACAAGCGGCCCTTGATGACTTGTTTCCCTTTTTGGCAGCCAGCGTTTAAGGAATTTTTGAAGTTCGAAGAAAAGCTCCAAATTGGGGGCCTTCGTGCAGGATGGGAACCACCAAACAAAAACACGCTAGGTAAACAACAAATGAACCTTTGAACATGAGCGTTGACGGTGGCCCTTTTGGAGCCCCTATTGCCCTGCGCGAACTTCTCGCATCTGTTGGCGCGATGTAGGACAAAGGTGTTTGCAGTGCTGGGTGGTTTACTGTCCGTACCTTCTCAGGAGATTCTGTGGGCCTTTGCCCCTTTTCTCCGTCCTAGTAAGGGACCCTCAAGCTGCAAAAGACCTGGCAAAGTTACAAACCAAGCTGAAATAAATGGATTTTGAACCCGTCAGGCCGAACAAAAAACCCTCGAAGAGCTGTCAAAACGGCAAATGGAAAAGGGCTGACTTCCGCAAATTTCCTACACTGTGGGGTCGGCTCCTTGTTGCGGCAGGTTTAAACAAATATCCGTTCATCATTCAATTTTACCCCTTTTAAAACTAGAGGACGATTGGCCCGAAGGCATTTCTCCCCAAGTGCTCTTCCAGTTTTACATCGATGCTGCGAGCGTGTCTGCGCTAGGAGATGCTCAATGTAGACAAGCCTCTGCAGTGTTCAAGGCCGCTGCGCCCAAGTTGCTCTCTGCAAGCTGCTGCGCGCAAGTGGCTCGAGATCTGTCTCTAACTGTTCTGCGCGCGTTGCTCTGTGCAAGTTTCTCTCCGCAAGGTGCTCGGCGCTTGCATCTGCGCACAAAATGCTCAGCCTGAGCTGAGCTGTGGAGGTGCTCCGCGCACTCCGCGCGCTGCACGATTTCCAGCCGGAGCTGCCAGGAGTACGCTACGTTTGTCGCGAGTTACTAGCCAGCTAACTCTTGAAAAGTTGGCACGAGAAGCTGGCAGGTGAAGTAACTCTCGCAAAGTTGGCAGGCGAAGTTGGCAGGTGAAGTTGACAGCCGCTTTGAAAAGAAGGCACTTTCCGTGCTAGAACTGCACGCAGACTTGCAGTTTTTGAGCCGGAGATGGGGGAACACACTTCGCACACAACTTTGTAATCAAAAGTTACCGTCTTGTCGCCAGAACTGTGGGAATACTATTCGCTCACTTCTGCACTCCGCGTACTACTTTTGTACTCAAAAGTTACGAAAACGATCCTGCGCTGCGGGAATGCTCTTCGCGTACTGCAGGGACTGCGCTTCGCGTGCTACTTCTGTACTCAAAAGATACGATTTTCGGAGCCGCTGCGGACCAGGGGGAACCCCGCGCACTTGCGACAGCAGGCGTGCAACCACGAGAGCGCTTCGACACAAACGATTTTCGCAGAGGGTCGCATGCGGGTCACAGAAATCGTAAAAAGTCCACAGCTTCTTGACCTCAACCAGTCTCCGCAGAATGTCGCGCGCCCAGATCAGAAACCGTAGTTTAGCATCGACCATGCGTTAACAAGGGGTCGCGCGCAGAGCAGAAACCGAAAAAATGAAGAGAGGTTTTAGCATTGAACACGCGGATCTCCACACAGGAAGTCGTAGAAAGTCATCGGGATTCCGGTTTGACAGGGTGCCAGGGCACTGCTGGGCCACTGCCTTCCCACTGCCTCCCCGCTGCCTGACCACTGCGGCCCACTGCCTTCCCACTGCCTTCCCACCTCCCACTGCCGGGCCACTGCCTCCCCACCGCCGAAAAGCTACGCAAGCTCTCTACCTAACCTTGGCTCCAGTGCAACTTGGCTCTGCGCCACTTGGACCTCCGCAACTTGCTGCTGTGCCGCTTGGCTATGCGCCGCTTGGCCTGTGGCACCTGGGTCTGTTTAACTTGGCGCCACTTGGCTCTGTTTAACTTGGCTCTGTTTAACTTGGCTCTGCGCCGCTTGGCTCTGTGCAACTTGGCTCTGTTCAGCGTGGCTCCGCGCATCTTGGCTCTGCGCAACTTGGTGCAGTTCAACCTGGGTCTGTTCCACTTGGCTCTGTGCAAGTTGGCTCTGTCCAACGTGGCTCCGCGCATCTTGGCTCTGCGCAACTTGGCGCAGTTCAACTTGGGTCTGTTCAACTTCGCTCTGTGCAACATGGCTGCGTTCAACTTGGCTTTGTGCAACTTGGCCCTGTGCAACTTGGCCCTGTGCGCAACTTGGCTCTGTGCAACTTGGCTCTGTGCAACTAGGCTCTGTGCAACTTGGCTCTGTGCAACATGGCTCTGTTCAACTTGCCTCTGTGCAACTTGGCCCTGTGCAACTTGGCCCTCTGCAACTTGGCTCTGTGCAACTTGGCCCTCTGCAACTTGGCGCTGTGCAACTTGGCCCTGTGCAACTTGGCTCTGTGAAACTTGGCTCTGTGGCAACTTGGCTCTGCGCCACTTGGCTCTGTGCAGCTTGGCTCTGTTCATCGTGGCTCCGCGGCACTTGGCTCTGTGCAGTTCAACTTGGGTCTGTGCAACTTGGCTCTGTGCAACATGGCTCTGTTCAACTTGGCTCTGTGCAACTTGGCCCTGCGCAACTTGGCCCCTGTTCAACTTGGCCCGTGCAACTTGGCTCTGCGCAACTTGGCTCGGCGCAACTTGGCGCTGTTCAACTTCTGCTCAACCTGGCTGTGTGTGCAACTTGGCTCTGCGCCACTTGGCTTTGTGCAACTTGGCTCTGTTCAACGTGGCTCCGCGCATCTTGGCTCTGCGCAACTTGGCGCAGTTCAACTTGGGTCTGTTCCACTTGGCTCTGTGCAACTTGGCTCTGTGCAACTAGGCTCTGTGCAACTTGGCTCTGTGCAACATGGCTCTGTTCAACTTGCCTCTGTGCAACTTGGCCCTGTGCAACTTGGCCCTCTGCAACTTGGCTCTGTGCAACTTGGCCCTCTGCAACTTGGCGCTGTGCAACTTGGCCCTGTGCAACTTGGCTCTGTGAAACTTGGCTCTGAGCAAGTTGGCTGCGTGGCAACTTGGAGTTGGCTCTGCGCCCCTTGGCTCTGTGCAAGTTGGCCCTGTGCAACTTGGCCCTCTGCAACTTGGCTCTGTGCAACTTGGCCCTCTGCAACTTGGCTCTGTGCAACTTGGCCCTGTGCAACTTGGCTCTGTGCAACTTGGCCCTGTGCAACATCGCTCTGTTCAACTTGGCTCTGTGCAACTTGGCCCTGTGCAACTTGGCCCTCTGCATCTTGGCTCTGTGCAACTTGGCCCTCTGCAACTTGGCGCTGTGCAACTTGGCCCTGTGCAACTTGACCCTCTGCAACTTGGCTCTGTGCAACTTGGCCCTCTGCAACTTGGCTCTGTGCAACTTGGCCCTGTGCAACTTGGCTCTGTGCAACTTGGCTCTGAGCAAGTTGGCTGCGTGGCAGCTTGGAGTTGGCTCTGCGCCACTTGGCTCTGCGACAACTTGTTCAACCTGGCTCTGCGCAACTTGGCTCTGCGCAACTTGGCTCTGTGCGACTTGGCTCGGTGCCACTTGGCTCCGTGCATCTCGGATCTGCGCAGCTTGGCTCGGCTCTGTGACACTTGGCTCTGTGCCACTTGGCTCCAGAATCTGACATCCTTCCAAGGGAGCCATTTCAAAACCCAACCCGGAAAGAAAAGGGTTTGTGAAGAATGGTCCCAATCCAGGATGTTCACCCATGTTGGAGCTTGAACAGCGCTCAACCCAACTATGCTAGAGGATCCCGCGGAGAAGGGGGTGGGGGCGCTGAGCTTTTGGACTAAACAAGTGCGGATTCATTTCAGGCGTTTTCTCCACCAACAGCTGAAAGGTTTGGATCCGGGGTGGTCCGGAGTGGCTATGAGGGTAAGGTTCCACGAGGGTTCCACCATGGTTTAACCAGGGTTTTACGAGGGTTCCACAAGGTTCTGCGAAGGCTGCGTGGTGGTGCGAGCACTAAAACAGATAGTATCTCAGCTTGTTAAATTAGATTGTTGCGTTTTCGTCTCAGCGAATCGTGGGTAAACAACTCCAAAAAGTAGCGGGCGGGCGGGCGGATTGAATTTGGGGGTGCGTTTCTCAAGTCTTCCCAGGGGTGTTGTCTGGAATGTTGGGACCTATGTTTCTATATCTGACTCTTGCTTCTAATTTGTTAGGAAAACTAAACACATTCAAAAATGAAGTTCGCAAAAGTAGCTGAAAACCAATCAATTTTGACCATTTTCATTTTTTCTACTTAAGTAGAAAAATAGCTGAAAATCAAAGAACTTTTTATAATGTTGGCTGGAAAAGTCAATCATTTTTCTACTTTCCATTTTTCTACTTATTCGGGAAGGCTGTTTCCGGAATGTTGGGACCTATTTTTCCAATTTTCCTTTGGCTGTTTCCGGAATGTTGGGACCTATTTTTCCAATTTTCCTTTTTCTATTTTTCTAAATAAAAAAAGAAATTGGAACAACTAAAAAATGACTGATTTTCCCACATATTTTGTGTAAGCCATTTTTTTTAAAAAAATAGCTGGAAAATCAGCATGTTTCAATTTTTGCCGGAAAACCACATTTTATTTTTCTTAATTATTTGGAGGAGGCTAGGTTCCTGAATGTTGGGACCCATTTTTCTAATTTTGCTAGTGTTCCTAATTTTCATGTTTCTTAACTTTTCTAACGCATGAAAAATAGCCGAAAAAATCAATGCTTCTCAATTTTGTTATTTTAATTAATTAGAAAAAATAAACAAAATCAAAAAAATAGGTCCCAACATTCCGGAAACCTAGCCTTCTCCAAAGAATTAGAAACATAGAAATCTTGATTGATTTTCCAGCCAATTTTTCATTAATTAAAAAATAGAAAAACCAACCGGTTTTCCAGCTAATTTTTCTAATTGCTGAAACAAATGGGAAAATGATTGATTTCCCAGCTATTTTTTCTAATTCCGGCTGGACCCGGACACTTTGAAGCTCAAATGGCACAACTGGAAAGGAAATATGGCATGGAAGCAGAAAGGAAATATAAAAGGA